GAATAAATATGGATCTTTTTATTGTTGCCGTCGACAGGATCCACTTAGGGATTAATGCGGAACACAATGCAATGTAAAGGATAAGAAAGTGATGCATGTACAGAACCTGGAGATTCAAGAGTTATTTGTTATAAAAGGTAAGAACCATTTTTTTTTTCATGTAATTTTGAACTTTACTGTGAAACCACAACACAAGTAATAGAAACTATACAGGGGTAAGTGAGATTAAGGGATGAGTTTAAGGGTTTCTATACTTATATATTTAGCTTACAAAGGTAAAGATGGAAAGTATGTAATGGGTATTAGGCAGGAATATGAAAATAAGATCAGGAATTTAAGACAGTAATATTTGGTATATTATATGTCTAGATGTATATTGTACATCCAATTTTGATTATTATTTGATACGCCTTAAGACTCATTGTGAATGGAGGTATTCCGTCATAGAGAGCTAAGACCTCAAGATCAGCAGGACAGAAAGGATTGCTAAATTTTTAAATATTTGAAATTTAGGAAAATATATATGGAAATAGACTTTTGTAATAAAGTGTGTATTATATAATTATGCAATTTAGGTTTTTAAAGGGATGGACATGTGTGGGATCATTTATTATTAATTAATGTTAATATATTATATTTGTAATTTAGTTTCAATTAAGGTTGATATGTTATTAAGGGATCTATTGAGGGTGAGTTAATGTTGTTTATTTTGAAGTAATTAACCATTTTTATGAAATTGGGTGTAATGTGAATTACACATATGATATATTTAATTATGAATGATAATTTAAAGGAATTGAAGTATGATGAAGTCAGAATAATATCTATAATGTTATAGGTGGATAGTTATTTTGATTTAGTGCCTGCATTTGATATATATATAAATTGGGTATGGATTTATATGATATATTAGATGATGTGTAAGATTTTTTTTTCCAAATTATGAAATCTTTATATTTAATATATATATATATATATTTTTAAATTATAAAATTTTATAAAAGGTTTTATTTGCAATTATTATATTATTTTTATGGTATGCAATGATGTGAAGGGAAAATATTTTTACAGATAAGGTCAGTCATGTTGATGGGTATGCCTTGAGGTAAGAATATTGTTTAGTTTGCATACTGGAGAAAGTTTTTTTTTGTGTATAAATTTTTTTTGTAAATTTATGCGGCATATTACATTTTTTTTATCTTTGTAATAATTTTATAGCACATCACATTTTACTATTTATTTTATGAACATTTTTTTTAAAGAAAAGACTCAATTTATTTTATATTGTGATTAAAAATTCTTTACATATATACCATATAGCCCATTATATTTTCAATTTTTGATACTTTGCATTCTACATTTTTGTGAATTTGTGCTCATTGTGATGGCGGAGTTAGGTAGGAATGGTATATTTTTCTTAGGATACTAATTCTTAGATGGAAAATATTGTATTTTCTACACATTATATATTTTTCCTCCTTATAAAATATTAAATTTATTTCTCATATGTCTTGTAATTTTATTTAAAATCTTTGTTCGGCAAATTTTCATTATTTTTAATACCTAAAAATGGATTTTTATATCTATTTTAGGAGATATTTATAAAAATGTAGTTTTGATTTTGTTTACATGACAGAAGGACAATTACATGTGTTGAAATTGCATTTCACACATAGACCATGTGTTCACATTACAGTTATATGTAAGATCATTATTTCCTAATTACCATTAATCATACCCTAATGATGTATATTATGGATCCTATTTCTCAAATGTCTTAAAATGAATGAATTATTATGTTTTGATATTACATTGTCCATATTAATGTTCCATAGAATATAAATGCAGATACCCCAATGTACATGTCATTATTGATAATATGTGTTTTCGCGATTATATATTGAAATATATCGGAGATATTATATTATAAATCATCATAAGGGGAGACGATTCGATAAATTCCCTGAACGTCTTCAAGGCGTCCCGATACAATTCAAAGAAGCGATTCGATACAATTCAAAGGGCGATTCGATACAACACCACCACAGAGAGAGGGACGCTGGGCTTGTGAAGGGTGGGCGTGTTGTAGCTGTTGAAAAAAAGAAGAAATAAATGTAATTTAATACATCAAATGTCAGTGATTTTCTGACAGGGGAATGGGAGTTTTCCTGGTGGAGGGAGAAAAACGTAAAGATCACATGGGTTATTGTTAAAGATTTGTTGGAGATTTGGAGTGAAGATATTGAATTAATTGGAGAAGATGTCAGCTGGGAGGAACAGAGAATGGACCTTTGGGAATGAAGAATATATGAAGCTGGATAATTATTATTTATAATCTTTATATTTTTTTTAATGGATAGATAAATATAATTATTAATAAATATGAATCTTTTTAGTATATACATTAATATAAAAGCATGGTAATAATTTCCAAACAAGTATAAGAAATTTATTTAGAAAAAGTAAGTAGGTATATAATTGATATTCCTCTATTATGTAGAATTAGTTACACTAGGTAAAATTCCACTTTTACAAACATATTTGACAGTTAGAGAATATATTACAGTTAATATTTTAACAAATATCAATGCTCTTGATAATAAATATAGGAACAATTTGCATTTAATTATTTAACGCCATCTATTTATCTTAAATAAATATTAAAAATTAATCTTCATATTATTTATCTCACAATGTCTTTAAAAGATATTTTCTGATGTCCTTATCAATATTTTATATTCTGTAAAATATATAATTCGCTATATCTGTAAAAATTACTTGATTGTCATATGATAATTGATAAAATTAGATATACTGTAAATCTATTCTTTCAAATTATTGTTTAAGTTATATGCATACATTTTTGGGGGTCAGGGAGTAAGAGGAAGACTAAGGGGGATATTTTTTATTAGCTTAAAATGAGTGATAAATTTCTGAAGGGGGGGGGGTAGGAATTTCCCCTTGCCCCCCCCCCCCGGCTACGCCTATGGTTGTAGGTGACGATAAATTTATAACTGGTTTTCGGATATAAATTTAAGATTTTTTCACAATCTTCTGTACAGAAGATATCCCTCTCCTCTTTATTGTGATTTCGCATAATTAGAAAGTGGTAAAGTGATCTAAAATGCGTGTCTCAACTATGACCGAGTCCACTAACTTTATAAATATCATTCAGAATCATATTATTCCTATTTATTGATTCTGTAAATTTCTCAGATTAAAAAATAAGGTTTAACTTTTCTAAAAAATTTTTATTAAGATTTTAAAGGTTTTACTTATAAATATAAACGATCAAGTTTCCAATTATTTTTTATTATATTTGGTATGTCAAAACACATTTTCTTCTGTAAAAATTAATACTAAATATTTATCAAATCTTTTTTAGCCAATAATGTATGACGTAATTATCTATCTTTAACCTCAAATTTCCAGTTTTATATAATAAAGCTCAAATTATAGTTGGAGTGACCTAACGTTCTCCTGTACTTAACTACCCCGGTTTCCCCTACATATCATAATTAATAGTAACCATACGATATATCTATGAACGACTTGTCATTATCTGAAAATCTCTGTAATTCTGATTTATCAAAAGATTCCCCAAATTGGCCATTTAATAAGACTATTAATTTCACGGAGTTATAAAAAGAGTTCTTATTGTTATAACTGGTTTTCAGATATCTTCCCATTTTTTCCTTAAAAATGGCAGCACAGTTTCGAGACTGCCCATGTTTATCCCACAATTGAGTAAAATATTTGAGTTGGGACATAATTTTACAATGTATAGACTTTGGGCCCTTAATTTTCTTTATTCGTGTAAAAAATGTTTCATATTGGGGTCAGAGTAGGTTAAATCCTCTTCATCTGAAGAAATATAAATTATATAAACTGTTTATTTGTCGAAGAGTTCACATCCCTGATTAGCACTCTATTTTTAAATATTTAACTCCAATTTAAACAAATACATTAGTATTTTATTTAAATAGCTTTCTTACGAATCTTTAAGGCTTATTTATAAATATTATTCTCCTTGTGGCATTAAATCATTCTCTTATAATTTCCTTCCTTTCGCCTTAAAGCATAGACAAAATAATTAAATGTCAAAATATATTATATTATATTATATGGAAAATGGTGTATATTCTAATAATTAATTAGATAATCCTGCACGTCAAATGAAACAAAACCTAATACATTGAATATATGGTTGTTTTAAAATTCATTATACATTCATTTTTACCCCGATTTTTGAGTTTACAAAAAGTTGTGCTTATTTTCAAATTAATTTAAAGTTTATTTTTGAATTAGTCCCATTTAATTCTGAAAAAAACAATACAAAATCAAAGGACGAACTTGGTAAAAATAATTTTTTAATTTTTTTATTTGGAAAATAAATGATTTTAGATTGAGGTTATTTAAGGATTTTTTATTGGTCATGACATGAGGGTAAAGCATTTGGGCTAGGTTCCACATTAGTGTTAGATTTTATTTTGATTAGTCAATACACGATATTATAATTAATTATAGCCGAAGATATAAATCTATGATGAACTATAACTCGACCGAAAGTCGGGAAAAATTAGGCAGAAGGCCCGGCCGGTCAATGAAGGGTATGGGGAGTGTTGTAATATTCATATAAATACTTTTAAACGAAAAATGTCTTATTCAAATTAGAAGAATTATTACGATATTATAGACTATGTAAATGAGGATTTAAGGAAAGATATATATTTAAGATTTTGTGTATATTATACTTTTTAAATTTTGGAAAGAATTCTTTTTATTTTTTAACTTTAATTTTTTATAAGTTTTACTATAACCTTTTATAATGTCAATTTAGTATATTTTTACTTGATAATTTATTATTTTATAATTAATAAGATGAATTAAGGAAAACAAAATTTTGTTATTTTGCTTACGAATTCAATCTTCATACTCTTCCTTATTTAATCTATTATCTTTTTTATTTAGATTTAACTATGTTTTTTATCTTCTACAAGCTCAAACCTTCAACTCTATCTCTGCAGTGGTGCCGAAGAGAAAATGCGTTACTGGGCTACTTTGGAAAAATTTCAATCGAATGCCAGACAATGGTTACATTGGGACAAAGAGTGTTGTTAAACAGCATTCTAATGAAAAAATTCCAAAAATAAAAAGGTAAGAAAAATATTTAGAGAAATATAATTGAAATTTAAAGAACATATTTTTTTAAAAAAAGAAGAAAATTTATCGTTTAATTAAATTTACTTTGGATAAGAATATTTAGAATTATATAAATCAAATTTTAAAGATGGATGTTGAAAAGAAAGAAATTATCATAGCTCATTTAGATCTTGGACTATTTTTTGTAAATATTGATAATATTAAGGTATAAAATTGTATAGGAATATAATTATCTAAAATGAAAAACAAAGAATTATAAAGGTAGCATTTAAAATAGATAAGATATAAAGAAATTTGTGTATTTTATTTAAAGGTGATAATTTATGCAATTTATAGTTAGTTACTGGTAAACATTGAATCGATAACTAAAGATAACTATGACAAATAAAAAAGAACATGATTAAATTAATTTATTTGTAATAATAAAGTATAAATTATAATGGCAAAGATTAAGATTAGTTTGGTTTAAAGATACCATAATTTGAAAGATTCGGAGAATAAGATTAGAAACTAAGATGCATATACTATTATTGTTAGAAAATATGTTGATGTTATAATTAAATTCTTATTACAGTTTACGTTTAACTTTTATTTTAAGGGCTGCGAGAGATAAACAGCCGCAATGATCTGATAAAGTTGATAATATTAATATTTGGTTGTATATTATCCAAAATCTTCATAACGAAAAACGAAAACGGCGTTCATCATTAGAATTCATACCACAATCGAGCTCAATTAGAGATCGGAATTTTATTTTGGATCATTAATAAGATTTGAGGTCAATTATGCAACATTTTTTCTAATAATAAAAGAAAGAAAAACAAGCGAAAAATATGGAAATACCAAAGAAGAAATGAAAAAGGCTATTTTAACTTGTTTTAATGAAGTTTTAGATATGGAGAAAATTAAGATAGAAGGGGAATAAAGAAATAGTGTATTTTTTGAATAATGATGATATGGATACGAAATACTTCTTTAGAGAAAAAGAAATGCTTAATATTTAATTAAAATAAGAATAATTACAAGAGTGTAAAATTTTTTAAAAAAGCATGAGAATATAAAGGGTTTTGAAAAAGGAAGAATGTGTGCCCAAAAAATGATAGAGTTTTTGGGAAATGTTTGTCAAGTGAAAATTTAATGATTATAAAAAGTTGTTATTTAACAACGTGTTAGAATTATGAGAATCATAATTTTATGTGTTTGAAAATTGATAATAGACATAATTGATTTGTTTTATAACAAGTTGTGCTAGAATTATGAGAATCATAATTTTATGTGTTTTAAAATTGATGATAGACATAATTGATTATACTATAATTATGAGAATCATAATTTTGTGTGAGAATTGATGATAAACATGATTGAGTTGTTTTTAACAACGGGTGCAAAACTTATGAGGAGATAAGTCAGTTGTTTTTCATTAACGAGTGTGAACAAAAAGAAGAATAAAAAAGATATTTATTCCAGTTGTTTTTGACCAATGGGGATGAGCCGCATAAAAGAGAAGAAAAGAAATAGATATTTTATTTTTTTGTAAAGAACATGCGCATACAAGGATTTATTAAGTAAAACGAAATAAATGCTTAATGCCAAAAGTAGAAAAAAATAATTTTTGGGGGTAAAAATTTTAAACGAAGAGATTTTTAGATTCATAATAATCAAGAGAATTTTAAATTAATTCAGCTTTAGACATGGTGACAAAAGATGAGGATCAAAATATCTAAAGGACGACAGAAAATGGTTCAATGAAGATATGGGTCTAGGCTAATTGTATAAATTATTTAGTATATTTGTACTATGTATTATTAATTTAAGATTTAGAGAAAAAAGTAGCAAATATTTCAGGAGTTAAGAGAGAAGTTAAGCAATTTAATAGATTATGTTAGGCAGAATTAGATTAGAGAAGTTAACCTTAGACATTAAGATGAATTTGATATATTTATATATTACAAGATCATTAAAGCAGAAATGGAAGAGAAGTTGGTCATTTGCAGAATGGTGGGTTTATATTAAGTGGAACTGGACGGGTGTTGTAATATTCAGATAAATACTTTTAAACGATAAATGTCTTATTCAAATTATGAGAATTATTACGAGATTATAGATAGTGTTAGGCTCGCTCGTTTTGAGCCAACTTTTAAAAACGGCTAACTCAATATTTTAGCCAGGAAAATAATGCCTAAGGTTGCATTCATAGTGGAGACGGATCCGATTTTTACATCCGTTCCGTCAAAAGTCAATCTCATTAAAAATGATATATATGTTCATAGTGCGTCCGTTCCGATACCTTCCGTCTTAAAAACGGATCCGGCAAATTTTGAAGTCAAAACATTTTGACTTTTTGATCCGGCAAATCTTAAAGAGCGTTATAACGTTACTTACAATTTTTTTTATAATCTATGAACATATATATCATTTTTAATGAGTTTGACTTTTGACGGAACGGATGTAAAAACGGATCCGTCTCCACTATGAATGCAGCCTAAGCCTCAAGATTTCGATAATATGTTTAGACCTTTGTTCCTTCTATGAGCAAAATCTTCACCCTAACTATTTTCCTTAATGAATACATTAATCTGAATTAAAAATTGTTCTTGGCATTGAACGTGACATTTATAATAAAGATGTCACCCAATATATAAATTTAAAATCAAATAATTACTTGTTAAATTTAAGTTAATTGAAACTTGGTGTTCACCACGTTGGTTCAAGTTTAGATATTGCACACTAATGCACGTTATATTTTTGCCATTGTCACTTTGATGTAATATGTACTTTAAAATGCCGGAATCTTCAGGACTACCCATCGACCCCATTGCAAGTATAGGGATTTCTTTTTGATCCAATCTCCATTCAATCTTAGCCTTGGGCTGACCATTTTTTGCAGTACAGGTAAACATTTTAACATTTTCTGGTTCCCCAAGAGTAACCAAAATCCCCTTTGTCTCCATATCGGAAATATTTAAATTTGCCTCTTCTAATTTTGGAGGTTCGGGAGGAGCCAACTGGATATTAAAAACTTTTGACTGAAAACTATTTGATGCATCCAAAGTTATAATAGGCTCATCGTTGGGTACTTTAAATAAAATATAAAATTATTTCACAAAAATAACTTAAATTTTAGTCTTTATTATTTAATTTTTGCGCAATTCGATAATTATCAAATGTGACATGAGATTACTATTCTTATCTTGCATCCTAAAATACTTGAATATATTTTTTGTCGAATTTATAAATTGCTACCAGGCTTAGAAAACAAGGATTTAAGATTTTTAAATAATATATAGGAATTACTATTCAGTAGCATCTAGGATTTATCCAAAGTGGGTATGAATTTAAGAAAGGGACTTCACCCCCACCCCCCATTTGACCGATCTTTGGCACTCCTATAGAAAATTATAATATTATCAATTTTTTCATGATTATTTTATTTTGCTTTAATATATAATAACATCTCTGTTAAAGTTGGCGAACTATTGGAATTAATATTGTTAAACGACTCGATTTGAGATTTTTAAAAACGGCCAACTCAATATTTTAGCCAGAAATATACCGCCTAAACCTCGAGATTTTGCTAATGAATGTCCAAACCTTTGTACCACCCATGCTCAAAATCATTAGGTTTGCGTAATATTTTGTTGGATAAAAGTTTGAATCAGCCATTTTTAAAAATCGAGCCGTTTAACAACACTAATTAGAAGCATTTATTCTAAAATCAATGCTAATATTTCTTGCTCTATTAGAGCATGCGTGCTTGTAGCCGCTATAAAGGAAAAAAATTATAGTAACAAAATGTTAGCTAACCACGATTAGAAAACCATTTAATCTGATAATTTTATGATTGTTCAGTGCTTTGAAAATTATTTTAAAGGTAAAATAAAAAAGTTATTAGCTATAGAAAGAAAAATATAGAAAACTAAAGACGCATAATTCTGAATCTTATATTAAAACATTAAGTATAATTAGTACATTTTATTGCTTCATTCTGTTTTGTAGAAGATGATTTAAGAAAGCAGGTTGGGGAGGGGGGGGGGCTAAAGAATTATTAGAAAGAATAATTTAAAATAGCATCATACCAGAACGGAGAATATAGAAGTTCTAAATATTTGTTTGAGTTAATATTTAGTGCCTTATACTAATTAATTCTTCAATCAATTTTATCAACCAAAAAAACCGAAGTCAAATAAAAACTGATACCATGCAAAGCATAAAGTAAGCCAAACTTCGGAACCTAACTTTGATTTATCCATAATTAATAAGTATTTAGCATAGTTTAGGACTTCAACCCATTTGATATATAGTTTTTTCAAAAACCGATTATTGACAAAATAAGATATAATTGTCAAGATTGGCGTCATGATAGAACGGAAATTATAAAAGCACTAAATATCCGGGTGCGCCGATTGTAATGGCGGACCAGTATTTAGACTGACTAATTCTTCAATCAGTTTTTACAGTCAATGAACAGTTATAAGTGAAATAGTAACTAACATGCCCTAAATATCGGATTTAAAATTGCGATTCCAAAATTAATTATGCCTAAATGCATTTAGGCTTCCTATTCCTCGATTCAAAATATTTTTGATTCTTATGATTCTATGATCTTTATGGATATTACTTGTTCTTTTCGGTATATGTAACAGATAAAGAAGTAAAATATTATATTTTAAATCGAGTTATATTTTCAAAATTATGATATAAATCTGACTAATATTAAGTCACAAACTTTCGAAAGCACTAATTTTAAAGCTTGGGCAAATATATAATTAAATAGTATATAATTTAGTTTAACCTTCAGCCGTTTGGACTGTAAAATCAAACAAAAATTATTAAAATTTATATCAAGGTTCAAGATAAACAAAAAATCTAGGAAATTATAATAAAAAAAAATTAAAAAAAAAATATGTAAAAATTTACTAGTACTGTAAAATAATATCGATGCTAGTACCATTGTTACTAACGGCGTTACTTTTTTGAGGAAAACGCCATTTGTTACTTGTTTTAAAAGGTAGCGAAAAAAGCGAACGCCATTCCGTGACTTATTTCAAAAGGTAACAAGTAAAGCGTTTCATTTTTTTGGAGTTTTAAATTTTTTCTTAAAAAATATGGAAAAAATATTTTTTATTTTATTTTATATTAATATATTTTTTTAAATTTTACAAATAATTCAAGTCGAGTTTTTAATTCAAATCAACTATTTTATATATAATATTATTGTTGCTGACTATTATCAGTAAAGATTAATAATCTAACAAATTAAATCAATTATGGTATATTAATTTTTATTCTCTAATTAATTTATTTTTTAAAGAATTCATGTCAATAGTACCTTTCCTTTATATGAAGATGATTTGTCCTTACAACATTTTTTACACAAATAAAAAAAATTAAAGGCATGAAGTCAGCACTTTCTAAATGTAGATTGTGTTTTAATTCAAATATTTCAACCTTGATGTCCAGCAGCTCAAATCCAAGAAAACATATGAAGACAGAGATATGAATTCAGATTAAGTTCTATTAAAGATAAAAAATAGTTTGATGCGCACCTGAATGAATATTTTTTGAAGATGATCTAATAAGTTATTTTGAAAATAAAGATTTTCTTTAAATATTTTTAATAAATTTCCCCAATTAAAATTTATATTTATTCATTAAATATAATGCAACCCTCTCATCCTCTGCGCCAGTTAAACAATTTAGCTCCACTAAGGCTATGTTAAGCACTAAACGCTTGTATCTGATCAAAATTTCGAAAATCAGTTGTTGTCATAAAAAAATAAAAAATTATTACAGAAGGAACTTATTTTATTATGATATTCAATAAGGTGGCCCATTATATTTACCATTATCCTTGGTGTTTAAACATTTATAGATTCGAACCAAGTTTCTAAATATCTAGTGTTTAGATGATGACTTCAACGCCCATTAGTGGGTGATACCTCTTTAATAAACACCATTCTTGACATTATAAATAATTGCCCATTATAGGTTTATATCATAACATGTCAAAATCAGATCACCAAATCTATTGTCTCGATCCTTCCTTTCAAATATATTACCATAGAACTTACCCATCTTGGTTCTCCAATTGGTGATCTCACTGCAATTAAGACCTTTTTAGACAAAACTAGTTCTAATCTAAATGGAAATACAATCAATTTTAAATAAATTACTCGCTCATCAGTCTTTCTTTCTGCTTAAAAATTATTCTAGCATTCTCGAGATTATATATTCTATGAGATCAGCCCCAATATTTTAATACCAAGCTCCTGTTTAAGCATGAGTTGCATATCCACTCAATGGAGGCTATCGTCAATAAAATTTTTAGATAAACTATAGCCTCAGGCCTCTCTTTCATGCAAAAATTGCAGGATCAATTTCCATCTTTCATTCCTCATCTCTCTTGCTGCTTTTATTTCATCAAGATCAAACAGTTCAAGTATAATATACTGGTCAAGATCTTGATCTAGAAAGCGGTATTCACACTTGGGTGAGCAATTGTCAACCTAGCATTATCATACCAATATCTACCCTTCAGAAAGCTTGGGATATTCCCCTAGGGTCTACTCCTTTAATTTCCTTTTATCGAGTGATTCATTAGAACAATGTCCCCGCCAAGCTATGCTGAATTCTAAATCGGGCTACGAATGGCTGAACGATTCAAAGCAAAAATGTTTTTCTTCCTAGTGAAGAACTTATAGCTATCACTCTTTCTCAGGGCGATATATTGCTTCCTTCCAAATGTATTATTAGTTCTTTACTATCTGATTCCAAAGGATATAAAAGGCGCCTCCCATCGTATACATAAATAACTTAATCTCAAAACCTCTTAAAAGGGCCAATATCCTAATATTATAAATACTCTAAAATCATTTAAGTTAAAACAACAACATAAAAATCGATGGTATTCGTCTAACGCCATGGGCCTTCCAGTTGCTTGGAATTACACAGGAATTGATATTTTGGCACGATCCAACAGAAATGCCTCAGCCATTAGTTCGACAAAAATCTTGGAATATTCAGACATCGCTAAGGTTATTTTTATTCCACTTGTCACCAATTCTTTTAGTGTTTTTGGTTTTCCTTAAATTTATCACATTATTAGGGAGAAAATTAAGGCAAATAAGGGGCGAATCGTAATGAAGCCTTTTATTTCAAACAAGCAACGAGTTGATTTAAGATAGTATAAGTAAATCAATTAATATATGGCGTTGCATTGCTATTCATAATTCCAATAGCAATGCAATTGGTCCCACCTTTGTTTACCTAGTTTAATTGATTTTTTTAATATATGTTATCTTTGTATTCTTTTATTTTATTATCTATGGGAAAAAAATAAATAGAAAGAAAATGTATAAGCTTAGTATATTTTTTAAGTAAC